CTTTAATTACTTTCATCCATGTTTTTTTATTATTTTATTTATTATTTTTATTTTATGTGTATGAGTGTTATGCATGAGTGTGGGTAAGTGCACCTGTGTCTTCTGCAAGAACAACCAGTGTTCTTAACCACGGAGCCATCTCTCCAGCCCCCATCTTGCATGGTTTTATGATGATATAAACACTCAGTTGTAAAATATATAGATTAGATTCTAATCATAATTTTGAAGAATTGATGCTTTAAAACACTAACTTCCACATATTTTAATGTATACATGTATGTCTATTAATAGTGATCTCTTATGTTATATAATGAATTGTGTTCCACCTTGAAAATACATATGTTGGGGCTGTAACCACTAAGAAGACTGAATTTAGAAATAGGATCTTTAGAGTAGAAATTTATATTATATAAATTCACAAATGTGGGGCTTTAAACTTCCACAACTACTTGTTAGTCAGCCCCCCCCCATTTTGTGACAATTCCAATAACTATACTAATTTGTTTTCTAGAAGTAAAGTAACCATTTTCTCTAGATTTATGACTGCCCTGTCCCATGGGCCCCAAATAATGGCCAGTCAGGAAAGATGCTTATCAATCACTGGTCACCCTTATCATTGGCCAAGAAAGGAATCCTATCATTCTCCTTTCCAGCTTGCTTGCTTTCAGCGCTCTAACTATTCCAGATTATAAGTTCACCATGTTCTCTGATTCTTACAGAGACCCCTCAGCCTGTTTTTGCCTCAAATAAAAGCCCATTTTGTCTTGTCACCTGTTTCCTTTGTTCTTTTTCCTTCAGTGACCTTTCATTACTGACTAAAGGAAAAGAGGAGCAGTCACCAAACCTCAGTCTCTCTCTCTCTCCCACTCCATTTCTGCTTCTATCTCTGTCTCTGTCTTCTCTCTCTCTCCACACACACACACACACACACACACACACACACACACACACACACAGAAATACACCCACATACTACACTCATACTTGCACAGGGGAAGAACCACTTAAATCAGGGAGGAAGAAAGAAAAGTCCTATCAGAAATCAAATTTTCCCACATTTTGGTATTAAACTTGGTTCCTCCAGAACTCTAAGACAATGCAGTCTTCTGTGTTTAATGTAGGCTTGTTTTTGCAGCATGGGCTAATGCAACAACCACCTGGGATCTCAGAGCAAGTCTAATCAAATACTCTTAGGTGCTACTAAGCACTTACTTAACTGCAGTTTCTTTCTGATACTTCCAATGTACTGTATTGTCAGCTCTGGATTTCAGTGCTAAGACAATATGTTCCAGGCTACAGATGAATCTCACTTGGTAGAGTGTTTTCCTAGTAAGCATGAAGTCCTGGGTTCAATCCCTAGCACCCCATAAACCCAGAATCACAGTGCTCAAGAGATAGAAACAGAAGGACTAGAAATTCATGTTCATCCTTGGCCATATAGCAAGTTCAAGGCCAATCTGGGAAACATTGTGATCCTGCTTCTCAACTCATAAAAGAATAAGTTCCATGCTGAATTCTGGGACACATATGACTCCAATTTCCCTGTCACAAAAACAAAAATGTATATAATGAACATAATGTTGGTACTTATGAGCATTAAGAGGAAAAATGTAAAAGATCAGAGTTTTTGAATTTGTTACTATGCATCTATGTCTCTAGTTGCTTTAAATTTCTATGGGTTCCTAAATGCAATGCATTTTATCTTCAATATTCCACAGAACAGAAAAATCCATTATCTCTTTAGCTATTATATTTACATCCAGAATTAGGGTAATATTTAAAATCTGTAGATGTTGTGTTTTAGTGCATATATCATGAAGAGATATGAAAATGATCAAGTAAGACTCTGGAACTATTAAGTCCCTTTTGAGGAGAAGCTATTTTATTTTAATTCGAATGATTATTTTCATACAATTTCTTAAATAAAGCTTGGATGAATCATTAAGAAACATATCCACTGATCATAAACACTAGTCACATATTGGTAAATGATTGCCAATACTGATAGTGAAAAGCATGTAGGTATTAATTATGGATATTATTAGTAATTATTTAAGACTTCTGGTAAAATATACCTATTTTTCTGCCCTGAAGAAATGTATCATATTTTTCATCTGCTCATAATCTAGAAATTACAAATACACACACACACACACACACACACACACACCAAAGAATCTTGAGGAAAAGCACCTGACATTGATTTCACAGAAAGTCATTTCTTGAGCTTTCAGTATTGTAGCACTTCAATTTTAAAAATAGGGAATGCAAAATGACTTATTTCTTAGTCTTGGTCATCAACTGCTAAGACTTGCCTTGTTCCACATTTGTTCTGCCTTGAGAGAAAAGCATAGATGATTAACTAAGTGAAGAAGGGAGATTCTGCAGCCTCCAGTTAGACTTTTTACATTGAATGCAGCCCAGAGACAGAATTCTATTCATTTTAAAAGTTTGGATTTTTGGAATATTAACTATTTACATAAAAATTTGGCTTACATATGCATTTCTCTGTTTAAATTTGTCAGTGTGTATATGAGTGTATGAGTTTCTTTTTTGAATTATTTTTATTTTAAGTATGAGTATATTGCCTGCATGTAGGTTAGGTGCACCTGTATCATGCAATGCATGCGGAGGTCAGAAGAAGTCGTCAGATCTTCTGGAACTGCAGTTATGGAAAGTTGTTAGCTGTCATGTGGGTGCTGGGAATCGAACCCAAGTCCTCTGCAAGAGAAGTCAGTACTCTTAACCACTGAGCCATCTCTCCAGCACTAAGTGTGTTTGTTTTTAATATATATGTATATGTAACTGAAATGTTTTATTGAGCATGAGATGATTAGCCATGTTTTGTGAATTTTTTCTGTTATTAACATAATATACTATTATCTTAATGTACTTATTATATGTTAGGATCCCTTTTTTTATTCTAAATTAAGAATAGTAGGACTGGAGAGATGCTCAGTGGTTAAGAACACTGACTGTTCTTGCAGAAGACCTGGGTTTGAATCTGAGCACCCATATGGCATCTAACCACTGTAACTCCAGTTCCAGGGGATCCGACAGCCTCTTCTGTCCTCCATGAACATTGCATGACACGGGTGCACTTACCTACATGCAGGCATAACACTCATACACATAAAATAAAAATAATAAATAAAATATTTAAAAATAAATTAAGAATAGTAGTATTGAGCATAGCACATGCAGGTATACTTTCAATATTTTATAAAGTATAATTTATATATGCTTATGAAAAGACAGAAATAAAAATTTTCCTCAACTTTCCTTAGCATAAAACTGAATAATCCTCTAAAAAAATGGAGAAAAGGTACATGTGATAGTGATTTCCTACATGAAAGAACCCCAAGACTAATTTTTAGCCTTAAGACCGAGGTGCTCTTTGGCTGTTGGACAGCACAAATACTTGAAATCATTTTAATTTTCTTGGTTTCTTAAATATCATCTTCTAATTGAAGGCTTTCTAATGCTAAGAGGCCATTGTTGATGTGTAAATTGACACTGCAAATCACATAAGAACATCTTAAGTTCAGTAACCTTCTAAGCCTTTTAGCTTTTATTGATATTTTATCATGAAATTCAAGCATCCACAGTAAACAGATGAGCTAATGTAAATGGATGTCCAGTGTTTTCTTTGGCCATAAATTAATAAAGATATCATGCCTTTTAATTCAATGATCTAGCTACTGGAAATGGACATAACGTTAAAAACAAATTTGAAATGTGTCATTTTCAAAACTGCTCTATTGTTGTAGTGTGTCATTTTATTTTATTAATATTTTATTTATTTTTATTTTATGTGTATGAGTGTAATATCTGCATGTAGGTAGGTGCATCTGTGCCATGCAATGCCCGAGGAGATCAGAAGAAGTGTTTGGATACTCTGGAACTAGAGTTACAGATGGTTACTAAGTGCAATTTAGGAGCTGGGAATAGATTCTAGGACCTCAATAAGAGCAGCCAGAACTCTTAACCACTGAGCCATTTCTCCGGCCCTCATTGCAATATTTTAAAATTCATTTAAAATTGATAAAAAAATCATAAGGCTGCAAATATTAGTGGAGTTAAAAATATTTCATATATATACTGTGAAATATTAAAATTGTGTTGAATATATTTATATATCTCAAATATCTATCATTACTATATGATAAAACATTCAGAAAACTTTCTTTTAGCATTTTGTAATCTGAAACATATTATTCTTATTATGTATAGTTACCATACTGTACAATAGTACACCAGAACTTCTTGTTCCTGTATCACTGCAACTCAGTAAACACAGATCAAATTTCCCCTTCTATCACATCTTCAAACCTCTAGTAACCATTAAATTTTCAACTGCTCTGAGATCAATTTTTTTTTCTATTACACATACACTGAGAGAGAGAGAGAGAGAGAGAGAGAGAGAGAGAGAGGCACTTGTGCACACACACAGGAGATGATTCAAAATTTATCTTTCTTCATGGGGTTTATCCCATTTAGCAAAACGAAGTCAAGTTTTGATATTGTCAGTTATTATATTGCATTATCTTTATCTGTTCATTTGTTGATGGACACATAGCTTGTTTCTATTTCATGAGTTTTGACAATAGAGCTTTCAAACATGAGGGGGCAAATGTCACTTCAATATGCTGTTTATACTCCCATTGGATACATATCCAGACTGTGATTACCAGATGACACAGCACTTCTGGGTTTTTTTTTTGTCTGCTTGCTTGCTTGCAAAGGTTTTCCTTTCAACCTTGGCTATTGTGCTTTTCAGTCCTCATGGTGATAGCCATTCTTACTTGGGTGAGATAATATCCCATTATGGTTTGGACATGTCATTGCCCAATATTTTAATTACCATGTTAAAGAAACCTTCAGTCTAATGGCACAGCGCCCTTGAAAAATGTTAAATTCTAAAGGAATATGAAATCCAGAAGATATGATCTTGACCTCTCTAAAAGAAAGCCCTAGAGTGATACTGTCTTATTTTTCAGGTGCCTATGTGCTCCAGGTCAAGGCCACAGATGCAGATGACCCAACCTATGGAAACAGTGCCAGAGTCGTTTACAGTATCCTTCAGGGTCAACCTTATTTCTCTATTGATCCTAAGACAGGTAAATTTCTTGTTTGAGACAACACCACATTCAAACTTTAATTGAATCTTGGCATGGGATGTTGCCTATTGTGATATAACAGTAAAAATTCAGTGAAAAATCATTAGGTGAAAGTGATAACATCTTACCTCACATTTGGAGAAATATTTTCATTTTATTGAGGTTTGTATACATATAAATCTTTTCACATGTATTTACAAAGTCCAAACTTCCATTAGGGATTTTTTTTGTCTATTTCAAAATTTCAAGTATATACTTTTATTCATCTGGCTAAAAAAATCTTTTCATTTCAGATTTGGGGGTTGGATTCAATTATATCGCTTCTTTATCATGTACTTTTACGTCTTACCCAGAAGCTTCTGTAGCTTCTTTTGTTGTCTGCCTGAGGATTACATATGGTGCTGTGGAGTAGATCAGCAGCCATGTTTGTGAGCAGCTGCAACATGAAGCACCAAGATCCCTGACTTCTAGAATTGCTCTTTTTAGCCAGTCTCACTTCTCTTACTTTTTAAATTTGTTTTATAAAAACAAGCATGTAAATGAATGGTAAATTTCAGACTATAAAACACGTAGAATTTTAAGGGATTGAGGGTAAGTGCTGTTACTAGAGGAGAGAGGCACAGGTAGAAAAAGAAGAAACCAACTCTTATGATCAGCCTCAACCTCACTGATTCAAGCGGCAGGACAGTTTAAGTATTCTATAGTTATTCCAGTCCGTGTTTGTAAAGGGCCTGGGGTCTGATAAGGGCAGAGGGGCCTGTCTGCAACTTTATGGCTGGGGTGGTATGTTCCTCCAGAGTCACACTTTCGAAATATGGGCTAATAACGATCCGATAAGGCACATTTTTGGGAATGGCAATTTACGTGTGGTCAGGCGGATTTTGTAAGAAGGGATTTTTTGCCCTTTAAGCACACGGCAGAGTCTAAATTTTCTATCCTATCTTTTCTTCCCTCCTTTCCTACCTTCCTTCCTCCCTCCCTTCGTTCCATCCTACTTTTTTTTTTTTTTTTTTTTTTTTTTGCTTTTTAGGGTGGGGCAGATCAGTCCCAGGTCCTATATTTACCAAGCAAGTATTTTACCATTTAGCTAGAGCCCCAGCCCTCTGATCCTGTTTAAATCAGATGAGGCCTTTTGCTCCCCACAAACACAATCTGGTCTTGCATACTGAGTTTCCTTATGGGACCAGTGAACAAGGCTACAGGCATCGCTGCCACAGTTAAAGGTGGAACTTCATAATGACAGTTATTAAATCAATTCTTAAATAGTGTGCTAACATATTCCAAAGTGAATTGAGTAGTATTTAATATACTACCTTAACATAATGGAAACCCTCTCAACATACATGATTCTCACCATACTAAAGGCAGCCTCTCCTTAAATTTGTAAATAGGTCATTAAAATTAAAATTAATTTTTAAAATTTACATCATCAAATAGTCTCCTTTTATTTTATTTTATTTTAATTTAATTTACTGAGAATTTCAAACAAGCATATAATGTATTCTGATTAAATTCACATCCATTCATTCCCCTCCAGTACTTCCCCTGTCCCTGTCTCCCCCAACTTTTAACCTGCCAACTTCATATCCTGTTTTTCCAGTCCACTGAATGTGCTTCGCGTTCCCTGTGTATGCACAATAGAACAATCATTTCAAAGCGTAATCTCTACCCTTCCAATGAGAAATAGATTAGCAAACAATTAGCCATGCATAAATATTGTATTGAAACATAAAATCAATGGATGTTTTTCAACTAAAGTTGAAATGTAGTATTTGCAAAATTCTAGATCAACTGAATATATGTCCTCTAGTCACATGTCACCACCATACTGCTCAGTTACCCTAGAGCACTGACTGTCATTAAGAAGTTTGGAGCAAGGCAGGTATCACTCTGTAGACCTAGGCAAAAGAGGAGTATAATAAGAACATGCTCTCACTTTAAGAATTTTTTATGGGGCAATGGGAAGAAGGATATAGGAGTTGATCATATCATGATTATATTTCATTGTATACAGGTACTGGTAGCTCACTGGGAGCAGTGAACATCAACTGAGATATTCCTTCCTTTGGATCGGCCTGTGGCTATGTCTGTGGGTCATTTTCTTGATTGTTGAGTGAGGCAGGAGGGCCCAACCCACTGGGATTGGTACCAGCCCTGGGCATGTAGTACTGGGTTACATGAGAAGTAGGTGGAGCTCAAGCCAGGGAAGCAAGCCATTACACAGTACTTCTCTATGGCTTTTCCTGCAGTTCCTGCCTCCAGGTTCCTGCCCTGGGTTCCTGCCTTGACTTCCCTTGAGGACTGGCTGGCTGTGAGCTATAAGCCAAATAAACATTTTCCTCACCAAGCTGTTTTTGGTCCATAAGTTATTACAGCAATAGAAAATAAAACTGGAACAAAGTATGAAATTCTCAATGAAGAAATTGAGAATATATATATTCTCTCTATATTATTACATGCACATACAGAGAGATAGAGAAAAAGCCTATGTATGTCAGAACAACTTTCAGGAGTCAGTTTATCCTCTTCTTGCAAAATGCAGAACCCCCAGAATTGAATTCAGATCATCAGGCTTGGTAGAAGTTAGGTTTATCTATTTTAAGAAACCCTTTTAAAAAATATCAGTGGTAGATCTAGAAAGGTTATTATCATTTGCTGGATAGAGTATTAGAAATCAAAAGCCAGAATGCCAGATATCAGCAGTGTCTGTCTGTGGAAGTGATAATTACAAGGTGTTTTTTTTAAAGAAATATGATGGTAAATATAGGCAAATATATGGTAATATTTTAAGGACATGATTGTAATTTGGCTATAAAAAATCATAGGTACCTATACAAGAAAATTGATGTTAGATAAGAAATTGATTCAGGAAATTGCTTTGTGAAGTTCATGAACACACAATGTCCCCACAAGTAGAACAACAGGTAGAACTCATAGTGTAATAATGAGTCAGAATCATGAAAAGTAGTTCCTCTTAGCACATGGAATCACTGTGTGCTCTTTTGTCTTATAGATTTATGTATTACATCCAACTTCATCTTAACTGACATATGGCTACAAATGGAAATATAGATTGTATGAGTCATTAAGGTTCCTTCAGCCCCTAAGCATCACCCCCCAGAGACACTAGGGCAGGCAGAAGTAAAACAAGTGGATTTAGAAGTTGGTGAAGTAAGAAAGTGAGGATTAAGCTAGCATCTTGGAGTTGCAGTGATGAATTCTACAGCACAGGGGAGTTATTCAAACTCAAGATAAATTTCAAGGAAAGATTAAAGATCTAATATTGAAAGAATACCTGTAGGTAAAACAGATGAAACCCACTTCTAAATAAAACAGAATAAAAATTCCTAAAATATGAACTTGAGCATAATAAGTTAAAAATTATTGTTGAATTCAGAATAAAACTATATAGATAAAATCAAAAGCTCCTACCTTAACTTTATATGGGTCAGTTTGAACCACAGATGAATTCTAATGCATGTAAAAAGTATTATTTTCCATTTGAATATGCATATATAATGCCTTCATGCACTTACATTTATAATTTCCATAAGGCTTATTATTTGTAAGTAAATGTGAATCTATTCTGGCATAAATGATATAATAGATTTTTGAGGCATTGATTTTCACTGGAGACAGAAGTCTTGCAAGTAACATTGCCTCAGACCACTAGACAGGAAAAGCGTGGATGATGAGGCACTTCATTAAGAGAATGAAAACTAGTTCTTCACGCACAGAAAGCATTAAGAAGACTTTTGTCAAATTTATCACCTTGTGGTACATAAAAATAAATAAAAAATCAAGGATAATTGCACTTTCTCAGAAATAGTCTCCATTTGTTCCAGCTGTGTAGTTTCCTTTCCTCATTCCTTTTGCTGTTGTTAAATAAAATTCATGAAAAATCAAAGATATATAAACATTTCCATATTTGAATGTAGAAAACCATTTGAAACAATTATTAGAGGAAGATACTCATCAAAAATTTGTTACATTTAGGAAGAAATAAATTCATCAGTTTTTATTCATTTGAAGAAAATGTAAATTAATTTTGTATTATTCTTGCTGTTTGATATACAATTGTGGCACCACTTTTTAAGTAGATATACCAACTTACTTATAAACATAAATAGATATTAATATAAAATTCCTTAACCAAGAAATGGATATATATATAAAATATATATTCACTTATATTCCTGAAACTATTGCTCAATGATATTTAATATTTTATGAGTTTCTTGTCTTGCATGTGTATAAGTGCACTCATATTGTGTAATGCCTGCAGAGGTCAGAAGAGGATGTCAGATCTCATGATTGAACTGAAGATGCAGATGATTGTTAGTTGTCATGTGGGTGCTAGAAACTGAACCTCGGTCCTCTACAAGAGCAGACAGTGCTCTTAATTTCTGAGTCATCTCTTAAGCCCCCTCAATGATATTTCAAAAATACAAAATATTGGAGAATTTTTAAAACATCACACAAATATTTCTATCATATTTAATGTTTATATAACAGTGAAATGGTATATTGACATGTTGTTCTAATTGAATGTCTACTGTTTTGATGAAATAATCTGACCAAATCCAACTTAGAGAAGAAAAGTTTTATTATGTTTATAGTTCCAGGTTAAGTCAATTGTAGTGGGGAAATCAAGCAGGCAGCTAAGGACTATAAATACAGGATTCCCTGCTTGCTTGCCCTCTACTTATGCTCAGTTATGTTTCTTTACTTTATAAATTTAGGGTCTGACCTATGGAATGGTGCCACCTACACTAGGCTGAGTCAGTTAACAATAAAGACAATCTTCCACACACGTCTCCAGGCTACCCTGATCTAGATAATTCCTCATTTGAGTCTCTCTTCTCAGGTGATACTTGGTTGTGTCAAATTCAAATATGTTTTAGTTTATCATATGAAAAAAATGTAGTTTATAGAAATTAAATGAAATAATAAATATACAAAATAATGTAACATTTAATGTAGTACATGAAATCAGATGC